GATGTGCCGACCAGATGCTAACACTGCGGTGCATTCTCATATTCAATGAATATCGGCAGCTGACGACCGTCAGCGTTGTGGAATTCGCTACACCGTTCGATTCCCCGAGTCCTTGCAACAAATATTAGGGCTCGACCGTATGTCGCCAAAAATCACTGCAATAATCAGGGCTTATTATCGCTACACCACTGCGCTAGTTCTGGTTCGTAACAGTCTCTCGCAATGGTTAGGTATTCAAACTTGCGTTTAGTGAAATTGTATTCTCTCATGCATTCTGTGTAACTGCACCAGTAACTACACACCCAGATGGGCTCTACACAAATTTGAAAACATTAACTTTGCATCCGGTCGCTGGCTGATGAATCTCGACTATTTTAACGATATTACCCTGGCGGGTTTGAGTTTTCGTGATTTCCGGTCTTGTAGTGTCACGGATAAATGAAGTCGCTAAGTCGGTCCGTCCATTCATGAACGTTGGGAATACCGAAACGTTATTTGAGCCACATCTCTGTTCATGGGAAGGTGCCTTTAGGAATTAATGGCTGTTAACTGGAAGTAGTAGGTATTTTCAAGCATCTCTTGGATGAAGCCTCTACCGAATGAACAGATTAAGAACGGCATCGTCTCCTGTATCAATACTGTTCGCCGAATTTTAAAAGTCAGCCAAAGGTTTCAGTAGACTTGACGTAACATATCTATAGAAAAAATATCCGTGTGTACCGGGTGTCCGATTGGTCAGTCCTACCGCAGTTTGTTACGCGCGTAGAGGTGTAATTTGCGCATCATTGAGACCGGCTACGTGAAGCCTATTGACAGGTGTACTAGTCACAAGAAAGTTATTGTGGGTGATTGAAAATATTAAGAGAAGAAGCGCCGTTGATAGCTTACGAATGATGGAAGCGGCTTATAAATCCCATTGTTTATTCTAAACTTGTACCTTTATCTGTAAGATTTACTTATCGACAGTTAGGAAGAGTGCAGCTCCGCTAAATATCTTGATCTCCTGAGCTCAATCCAATGCCTTGTTTCAACAACCTAACAAATATCTGTCATTTCGTGGAAAGACTACACCATAACCTGTAAAGTCTTTTCATCTTTTGCACATGCTGATGCCTCCTGGGTTATTGTTCTTCATTCTGCCCATAA